AAAAAAAAAAAAAAAAAAAAAAAACGCAAACGAACGCCATTGACGGCTACCGTGTAACTTTACACAAACCATGATAATTGGTGCAGCAATTAAATGTGGTACAGCAATTAAATGTGTCTCATCGCATGCGTTATGTTGGCATGGCCTAAAAGAACCTGCACCGCCACCACAAGTGCTTTTACAGCAAGCCTGAAGACTTTGATTAAGTACTTTTCGAGGTCTTGGATTCGGTTTGCAGAAGACGAGAGTTGGGAGGTAAGGCTCTTTGTTTTCTACGGTATTGTTTTAGATGAATTGAATTGTCTTGATTCATACTCTCAACAAAAAATTCCATTTAAAGAAAGCATTCTAGCACAAACTTTACGTACATGCGTACCGGTTAAATGGCTCGCATACTCAGAGAATAGCGTTTTATCCAAAGGGCTCCTGTACTTGATTGAAGTTTGACTCTGGGAATGAAGCTGCGATAAACCAAAGAGCAGTGTGGTTGACTTTGTAGTTGGTTTGGTTTGGCTTGGTTTACTTAATTGACTTCACGTTTGATTTGGGAGTTCACTCCGCTCTGGTATAGCCACGTGCATCTGCACGTGCACAGACTTGCAAATTATTGTCAGTTCAGCGTTACACACTCACACTTTTAAAACGATTATTGTACGTGCTCTTTATCGAATTAAAGGATCTTACAGTCTTATCCGTAAGCGTTAGGTATCACTGCGGTGAAACGTCGGCATCATATTTCCACTCATTGCACGTGGCTTGATTACATAACCCAAATGTCGGCATTACAAAATTAAAATGTTTTGGGGATTAAGTACAACAATGATACGATTATGAACAATACTAATTGTGTACCTAATAGTAAGAAATTATTCAGATGTAGAACAAAAAGTGATATCAATATTTACAATCTATTTTGGAAATGCATAATGCAAGTTACGTTTAACACTAGAACAGCTGTAACACTAGAACAGTTATAACCAGCCGGCCGCCGGGGGAGTAGGAAGTAATCCACTATGAAGTGACTAGTATTCTGTAATGAATGGCGCCATTAGGTAGAGGCGTGGGCTCCTGGCAGAGGGCATACCTTGCCCTGGCACAGTTTTGAAAGACCATCTTGAGGTGTACAAATACTTCAAGTCGCCTTATGTGACAGAAAACGGGATACGTTCCGTCCTGATGGGCCACTTGACTCGTATACAGACTTTAATGTAAAAACCACGAAAGGCAACATTGACCTTATTTGCATCGTGCAAACGAGTTACAGCTAAACTAAGCGGGTTTACCTTTGCAAATGGCTGAACCGTCCAGTAATTAAGCTTTGAACATAGTTAAACCCTATAATTATCAAAGTCTTCATCGTAATCTATTACCTATCAGACTAGCAGCCGTCTAATAAGACAAAAGAAAGAAAAAAAAATTGTTTTTTGTTTGTTTTTTTTTAATTTTTCGCGAAGAGCTGAAATTTGTTTCTTGGTATAGACCCTAGTTTAACTCCTTCAGTTAAGTGGCATGCCGGTCAAAAACTAGGTCTACCCTAGCGCACTGAGCACTATTAAAAACAACATTTGAATGTTCGAACATTATGTAGAATGCTAGACTAGTTAAACATTCATAAAGAACGTTTCCGGCACTACTATTCGTATTAAACTCGAGGAACACTAGCTATCAGATATAAAACTGACGCCCATTGAAACTAACTAACAGAGATAGAATCCAAACGAAATCTTGTCTAATTCCCAAGAACAAAATAAAAGCTAGCTTCAGCACTCGGTAGCAAAAAAAAAATAAATATATTTTAACACAACTTGTTCTTTACTGCTGCGCTATTTAGGATGTAAAACTTAGTTATTTGTCATTTAGATAACAGGAAAACTCGTTCATAATCAGTTCCAAGAACAAACTAAGCTCATTAGTCATATGATTATACTAGAGTAGCTGAAAGTTTCCTCTTCATCACTGCTCCTTCAGCTCAAAAACGCCGCTACATGACCGCAATTCAATCATTTCCGCCGTGCCGACAACACTTGGATTGACCTTTGAAGTTGCCCTCGCAGGGCCTGGATCGTTAACAGCTGGAAAAATCACACTTAGCTTTCTTTTAAACCGCTCTCTTCTAAACTGCAGATTTAATAAAACAACAGAATTGATTGAGAAAAAATATGTCTCTTACTTTTGTTTCAGTTGCACTTTGTTTTCTAACGTATTGTTTGGTTAGCTATTCACAAACTAGTTGGATTCGTTCCCAGTCCCTCCAGGGATCAAAACTGCTCTTGATTAGTTAACCCGAGGCAAGTGAGATTTCTCTTGTTCCTTTTATTTATTCCCAGCGTCTCGACTAGTTTTTCCGATAATGCTGGAAAATTACCGGCGAGGGAACCTTCTTACTGAGAAGAAAAAAAAAATGGAGTTAACCGGCTACTTTTCTCGACGGCTAGCCTATTTTGAGTTCATACTGTCTAGATCTGAGCTTCGTTACGCAATCTCGAGGAAGATTGCGTGACGAGCCCAAGAAGCCTGTAGTAGTGGGCTACACTGCGCCAGAAGTGATACTGAATCACAGATAACAGATGAACTGTTAGAAGAAATTCATTTCCTGACTGTCTTCAGAATCCTCTCACCTGGTTGTTTCTTGCACAGTGTAGGAGAAAAATCAAGAGCCCCTTCAAAAGAAAGGTATTAAAATAAGCAAATTATACACGCACTTAGGTAGACCAAGATAAAAACTCTTTTCAAGACCTTGGTATACCGGCAATCGATTGTTTTGAAATACTGTCTGAGACCAGTAACACTTATTGTTATCAAGTATAATAATTTCTCATTTAAAAACAGCAAACACACCAAATTACACACAGTTGTAATTAAAGGTACAGGTCGGGAAAGCGATTTTTGTCGAAAACAAAATCTATATCAAACCATTAATTACAAATGCATTTAGGAGTGCAAAGGCAATTGAACTGTAGGAACAAATAACTCACCTGAGTAGAGTTGAGGATAGTAAAAATGTAGATGAAAGCTTTGTGTAATGTCGTCAGAAGACCAAACAACCACGTGATCCCAAGCAAAGGACTAATTACCAAGCATGCTTTGATGCCAAGTCTGCAAAAAGATGATATAAATGAGAATGAGTTGATGGAACGTAGACAAAATTAATCACAAGTTTTCGATTTCATTGCATTGAATAAGTGATATAATAATGCACATACATGTACGAAAGAAAAAAAAAACCTATCTTCCGAATATTTTTGGGATGTAAATCAACCGATTTACTCTCTCAATATAAATAGACCATATTCGTATTCTCGGTATGGGATTGGAACTGGCTTGCAACTGAGGCTAATGGCTAATGCGGAGGGTCTTTTAAATGCAAATAGCATTTGTCTTTTTTTAATGATATTTTCGCGTATGAACCTCCACTGCAAGCTAGTTCCAGTTCGATACCGATAATACAAATATGGTCTATTGTGTAAGTGAAGAAAAATTCACTTCTAAATGTTCAGTCAACATGAGAGAAAAAAAAATTAGAAGCATGGATTGTATCAAACGTTGCTGAACTAAATCTTGTTGTGAGAGTAAAGCAAACTATGTCCTCTTTCGGTAAATGTTCTTCTTACCGTATCTGGTGAATATTATTATCTCCTGCTGTTGGCTGCATTGTGGTGATTTCCTTTACGACCCGAACTAATATCAACAAGTTGAACTAAAGAAAGAAAACACGACATGTGCTTTGATATTTAAAGGCATGGCTTAAGTTTACTAATAACAACTCTCTATATGCAACATTTTTGACGAATATCACGGGTTACACCAGCAACTTTATCATCTATTGAACTCTATTACCACAGATTGGCTGCCTTTCAAGACAGGAGGACTGACTTTCTACTGACGATCTCAATCGCCAACACCATTACGACAAATATCCAAATCAGATTGTTATTCGAAGACATCCAGCAGCTTAAAGCAAAAGTAAAAATAAAACAAAATAAATATATGTTATCTGCCGGCTTAGGTCCGTCCGTATGGTGATTTTTTTATTTTTTATTTTTTTTATTTTTTGTCCTGCTATAAATTGCCTTACAGTGAGGTGTCTGGAAAACCCGAATAGCGAGTAGTCGCGAATAGCGAACAGCGAATAGTC